CATTTAGTTGAACTTAAGATTTCTTTAAAGGAGTATATTTCCCACCAATTACATGTCTAATAAAAAAGATTAATGATGACTCTTAAAATCATATTTAATGATAGGTCATGAATTTATATATTATAACATATATAAATGTCGAACACCATTGTTGACACACTTGTTAAATACGTTGAAATTCAACTTAATATGACATAAAGGAAAAATACTAGTAAAAGTAGAAAGGGTGGCTAAATTCATCAAATATTCAAAAGTTAAGTCTATTAAAGAGTTTCATTTCAAGATGGTTTTCTATCCTTAATTGTCGGGATCCTTTATGTAGAAAAAGAGTCAAATCAGAAATGCAATAATGATAAAGCAGTATATACGTATAGAGTTCCAAACTTATTCCTTTACTTTCATTACTTTAATTGGCTAAAGATCCAGATTTTCTTATTGAAAAACTAAAGAATACACTTTCTAAACAAAAGAAAAGACTTGGAGAATTGGTTCCACCTTCATCAGTTTAGACTATTCAAAAACTTGAAATGACAAATCTCTAACAATTTATAGCTTCTATAAATAGGTTTCTCCATTAGGGACTACGGGAAACAAAGTGGAACTTCACCTTTTTCTCCTTTCTTTTAGCAACATGGAGCTTCAATTCCCCTCCTTCACGACCCTACTCCTCACCTTCTTTCTTCTGTTGATGGTAGTCAAAATTCTGAAAAGATCAAAACCGAAATCCCCAAAGCAAAGCTTCCTCCAGGACCACGAAAACTACCTCTCATAGGTAACATGCATCAGCTTATCAGCTCTTTGCCTCATCACACACTGAGAGATTTGGCCAAGAAACATGGACCTCTGATGCATCTGCAACTTGGTGAAGTTCCCACCATTATAATTTCTTCCGCAGAAATTGCAAAAGAGGTTTTGAAAGACCATGACTCATCTTTTCTCAGAGGCCATATCTTCTTGCTTCCAGGATAATGTCGTATAATTCTGTAAACATTGTATTTGCACCATATGGAAACTATTGGAGACAGTTGAGGAAAATCAGCATGATGGAGCTTTTGAGTCCAAGCCGTGTTCAATCATTTCGATACATCAGGGAACAAGAAGTGTCTGCTCTAATCAAAACAGTATCTCTGAATGAAGGATTCCCATTAATCTGAGTGAGGAAATTTTCTCGATGACATATGGGATAACATCGAGGGCAGCACTTGGCAAGAAAAGCAAAGACCAAGAAGAACTTATGAGGATTATACCAGAAACTATAAAGTTGGCAAGTGGTTTCTGCTTAGCTGATATGTATCCTTCTAATGAATTGCTTAAACTGATCAGTGGAGTGAGGTTTAAACTCGAGAAGCTGCAACGTACTTCAGATCGGATACTTGAAAACATTGTTAACGAGCGCAAAGAGAAAACAAAAAGGACATCAGAAGCAGGCGATCAACAAGAAGAGGAAGATCTTCTAGGTGTTCTTCTTAAACTTCAACAACGTTGTGACCTGGAAATCCCTCTAACGAACGATAAAATTAAAGCAGTTACCTTGGTTAGTATCATTAGCTCTCATTTATATTATCTAAAATCACAAGTACCGACATATAAGTTAATCATTGTTTACCATCTTTAAGGACATTCTTGCTGCTGGGAGTGAAACATCTTCTACAACAATAGAGTGGGCGATGTCAGAATTGCTAAAAAATCCACGATTGATGAAACAAGCACAAGCCGAGGTGAGACAGGTTTTTGATAGAAAAGGTAACGTGGACGAAACTGGTCTTCATGAATTGAAATTCTTGAGATCAATAGTTAAAGAAGCTTTGAGGTTACATCCTCCAGCACCTCTTTTAGTACCAAGAGAATGTGATGAAAATTGTGTAATTAGTGGATATGATGTACTTGCAAAGACTAAAGTCATAGTTAATGCATGGGCCATAGGAAGGGATCCAAGGTATTGGAAAGAAGCTGAAAAATTTTATCCAGAGAGATTCTTGGAAAGTCCTATTGATTTTAGGGGAACAAATTTTGAATATATCCCATTTGGTGCCGGTAGGAGGATTTGTCCAGGCATATCATTTGCACTACCCAACATTGAGCTACCCCTTGCACAATTGCTATACCACTTTGATTGGAATCTCCCAAATGGAAAGAAGCATGCAGAATTGGATATGACTGAATGTATTGGCCTAACTGTGAGAAGAAAGAATGATCTGCTTTTAATTCCCATTCGTTATCATCCTTTTACTAGCAAGTAAGACCTGCTAAAACAAATTTTAATTAGCATTTCTTATATATTTTTCTTTTGTCCAAGTTATAAGGGAAGCAAGAGTGTAAACCTTGGAGGCTTGATTAGTTGATTATGTCATCATGTAATTTTATTATTGTTTTCTGTTATTTGTCAGTTAATTTTTATTTCTTTGGTCTTGCGTTCATTTATATGCAACGATTACGAAATCAGTATGGACTAAACTCTTGGGCATATGGGAAGATTTTAAAATTAAGCCTAATAACTTGTAATGTTTACAGAATTTTAGTTTGGTGGAATCAAATATTTCAAAAGTCAGAATGCTTAAAATCAGTCCTAGACCTGATTCGAATCAAATCATACTGCTTCGTCGCCAGACAGGTCTTACTGGAACAAGGACCAGTTAATACTATAGACACCTAGGACAGAACAAGGCTTGTCTAAGCTACCATATCCTCCTATTGTGAATGAAATTTATGGTTGCCATTGGCGCAAATCCTATCTTGGAACTAAAAAAAATCCCCATTGGTAGCAAATGCTTATCCATTAAGTGAGGAAGAGTAGTGATAGCAATAGTCCAGCAGGGTCGGGGCGGACTTTTGCTTGCCCTGCCTCCGACCCGACCTTCATACATTCCTATTCGATCCTCGACTTGCCTCGATCAAAAATTTTAATTATGAAACCCGACTTCGACCCGTTAAAAAAGAACCCAAAATATTCAGGATTTTGCAAATAACTAAAGAGAAAAAACAAAGAAACATGTGCAACTGACAGACTCGAAAAGCCAAAGAATATGTCCTGATTTCAAGTTATTTATGAGAGTTCAAGTCATTGAGAATTACAAAACCCAAAAAATGTGGAGACGTAAATTTGTTGACATTTGGATGAAACCAAGAGTTGTTTCCATGAGTACCGATTTAGGCTTTACCCTCCTTTCCTTATTGATCTAGACAAGGACAAGAGAAATCTAAAGTCATCCCAAAAGAAATGGTACCAATTGCATCACAGAGTTCATGAGCTTTCTCGGATCCAATTTTTTTTTATGTGCAATTGACGAGTTCTGTGAATGTTGATTGGTCACAAAAGTTTTGTTTAACCAAATCCATTGATTATACTCAAGATCACATGTTACAATAACATCAACATCAACAAAGATCAGAAACAATCACATAAAAGAAAGAAACTGCAGCAAGATCTATGATTCTACAATCACAAACTTAATACTCCAAAAGCTAAATCTATGGTAAAAGCACTAAACCTCCAAAACCATAGAGAGTCCATGGCAGTAACATCCTTCAAGAAAATCTTCAACAACCCTTGGTTTCTTCATAAAATTTTACAGACCAGAAACAAGAAAGAGAAAGAAGAAAGAGACCCTAAAAGAGAAAAAGTGAAGTTTGCCTCCATCTCTTAGTCTGCAAAGGAAGACAAGAAGTGAAAGGCAGTAGAAGATGAGAAAAATAAAGTTGTAAATGGCAAAGTCTAAAATAAATTATAAACATTAACTATATATTTGATATACAAGATTATGATAAGGTATGATAAGAGGATATTGTGAATAAGATTAGATTAAATAATGTTATCCTATCATATATTTAATGTGTACAAATATTAGAATACAATAATTTATTTATTGATCAAAATTATTTTTTAAAAATTTATATAATTTAAATTATTGATATAATTTTTAAATGTATAATTAAACAAGTAAGTTCAATCTCATGAATTAAAAATAAATATCTTTACTTTAAAAGGATTGAATCATCCTCTATAAGAAGGATATTAATAATCTTTTTATTCATATCCTTTTTCTTTAGATGTAAACCAAGCATAATATAATATGCGTATCATCCTATTATATTCATCATCTTATACATTAAATATGATCTAAAGATATTTAGATAAATATTTTGAGTCTAGCGAGTGAGTTTGATCTAATTTCGGCTTTAACTAGACTTGATTTTTTAAAAATAAACTTTAACACAAACCAATTTGAATCCAATTTATAAAAAATGATCCTATAAGATCAAGTTGAAATCAGCGGGTTTCAAGTTGATAAGCTAGGCGAAATCCTATTTAAAAAGAAAAAAAAAAAACCTTTAATTTATTAATATTTGTCATGTTCATTAATTAGATTACAATAAAGGAAATTGATAAATTACAATAATGATTAAATGAATATATATTATTAATTATTTAAACTTATAAAATCTAAAAATTCTGGCTCTATGGAGTGATATATAAAACCATAATTTTAAAATTATAAACATTTTAAAACCTTACAAAAGCTGTAGACGACCATGTTTGGTAGGCAAGTTCCGCGTACTTGCCTCACCTTGGGAGTACTAAATGGCTTATAAGCCACATTAATTTATAATATATATGCGGCTGAGGGCTCTGACCAATTCTTTGTTAAAAGGGGAATTACCAAAACCATATGTTGGAGTAATCTTCAATTTTTATTTTTATACGGGAGACCGAAGCCTTATAGCTGACAGCTTGACCTCAATTGATCCAAAAGGGTAATTCCAAAATTCTCATCATTTTTTAATCTAAGATTTGACCCTTAATGAACTTGAATTAAAATAGTGGTCAAATTTAGAATTTCATAGAACAGCTTTTCAAAATTGCTTCTGGCCGTCTTCATATTTTAGTCATGTTTTATTCAGATGCTCTCCATTCCAATCACATTAATTTTTCTTGCATTTAACCAAAAAAAAAACCATTTTTTTTCTATAAATAAAGGAGCTTAATTTTGTTAAAACTAATCACATTTGCAGCACAGCAAGCTGTCCAAGCAGAGTATTTTCTTCCAAATTTAACTTCAAGGAAAAAGAAAGAAAACCAACCTCCAGAAATTATTGCATCTGAATTTAGCACTAACCTCTTCAAAACAGTATGGCTTCTTCTTTACCTTCTTCTGCCATAATTCCACCATCTTTCAAGCATTATAGACGTCAAGGCTTTCAAGTTAGAGCCCAAAGCTGTAAAGACGGAGGTAATTGCTTATCTTTTTTTTTTTTTTCTTTCTTTCTCATTTTTCATCTTAAATTTGTGTCACACTCAACAGAATTGTATGTTTTTTTCTTCTTCTGGCAGGTAGATCAAGTAACCGCGTTGACGCGAGTTTGAGTATTTTAAGGGAGAGAATAGAGCACGTGAAGATCAAGGAGAAGCTAGAGAAATGTTGCAGATGTGAGTATGGTTGGAATTATGCAGCTGGCTGTAATCATATGGTGAAAAGAGATGAGGCGATATCAGAATTCTTTGAGCTTGTGAGTTTGGTTGGGGCAACTCTTGGCTTCACCTTCCTTACTGGCACTGTTTTCCTTTGCCTTGTTTCTATTTTTGTTCAGTTCAATCAATAATTTGAAGTCATGCAGCTATATATATATATATATATATATTTATGTGTGTAAATAATAACATCACACTCAATTTCAATGGAAATTTTTTTTTTTTTTTTGGCTTAGCTGGGAGGTATTCATTTCTAGAAAATAGAGTTCAAATTCTTTTATTGGCATATTCATCATGTTAAATAATAAGAAGTTGATTGTTCCTTGTAAAATTTTATCCTTTTTTTTCTTTTTTTGTATGGTGCTTGTTAGGTGGCTACTCCTCCATCTATATGCTACTATTTACTTTAATGTAAATTTGTTTTTCTTTTTGCTTAATAAAAAATTAATTTTAAATTATTAACAATATAGATTAAAATCCTTTTATTATTTTTTTATTACTTTTCAGTATATTTATTAATACCGTTTACATATTCGGAAGTTATGAACTATAAATAATGATTAAAATTGAAATATAATAAAAAAAATGTAGGCGAACCCGTGTCTCATTAAGACCCATAAAATATGTCAAATTCACAATATTTTAATAACATAAATTAATCGTTTAAAATAAAAGACAGCGAAGATATTAAATTTGTTGAGCACGTGACCGTGATAGGAGTTCAACCTATTGGTTTTTAAAAATCTCATGGATAAAAGTGTAATCGAGTTCGAAAAAAATGAAAAAATTTGTTGAGCACGTGACCGTGATAGGAGTTCAACCTATTGGCTTTTAAAATTCTCATGGATAAAAGTGTAATCGGGTTCTAAACAATAAAAAAAGTTTGAATTTGAGTTTAATTCAATTTTATTGTTTGAAATTTAATGCGAATTAAATTAAATTTTAATTTTTAAATTTAAATTTAATTTAAAATAAAATATCGAATTATTTAAATTTGATCAAATAAATTCATTTATTAAATAAAATATAAGTTTAATTTTTAAGTTCAGCTTCAAACTCAATTATTTATATTTGAATTTAAATTTAAATTAATATATAAAATAAAATAATAATTTTTAAATTAAAATAATAAAATATATATTAAAATATAAAAATTTAATTAAATTTGTGAGTTATTCGAATTGAATATTAAAATACTTTAAATTTATTCAATGAATTGAGTTGCTCAAACTCGAATTCAATTTAACAATTATTAAATAAAATTTAAATTTTATCTAAGATGAATAGAATAATTTGTTAGTATTAATATATTATTTAAAAGATTTGGTTTCTCTAAATCTTTGGACGTATAAGATGAAGCCACATCATCTCATCCAATGGCCAAGGTGCAAGATCTTAAGGGTTTCATTCTTTTTTCTTTCCCGAGCTAGTGGTAAGCAGCCGGTTGCTTCCATCTCCTGAAGTAACAGATCTCTCTTTAAAAAATAACAGAAATCAATTGACCTATTTTCTAATAACTAAAAATAACCTAATCGGAATAGGTTGTTGATTCGGTAATTAATCGATTTTTCTCATCATTCTTTTATCATCAAAATTTGAATAATAATTTTATAACAACTTTTATTTAATAAAATTAAATATTAATCTTATAATTTTATTACCAATGTAATATTTTCTATTCTTAAAAAAATAAATAAAAATAAGATTTTCTGGAAGTTACATTAAAAAAAAGTGAAAATTTTCATTATTTTATCTAAAGATGAATAATACACTTTTACCTAAATTTAAGGTTAATAATTATTCAAATAATTTTTACTTTTTAAATTAATTTTCGTTGATTTTTATATTTAATTAAAAATTATTAAATATCAACTTTGGATTAAAGAAAAATGCATTATTCACTCTCAAATGAAATATTATTTTCTAAACAAAGGTTGCTTATAATTTGTGTAAAAAAATTATTGGTTAGTATATTTTAATTCGTTCTACATTACTTAAATGAATTGATCATTTAATATTTTATGGGTTAGTATTTTACTTAAGTGGAAATTAAATAATTTTTTACTATTTATACATATTTGTTAGTGTCTTGTTACGTTGTCCTAACAAAATAAATCATCATAAGTGATGCATTGGATATTTTATATGCAGTTTTAATTTGGCTCTTCAACGTTAAATGATTCGATCCGCCATTTTCGAATCCAAATACTTTCAAGTTAAAGTTTCAAATTTTAATAATTGAGATATGATCGCTTTGGGTTACCAGTACCATTTGTTTCTCTTAATGTCCAAATTTATTGTGATTATTATAAAATTAAAAAAAAATTAAGAATGTTGCAATTTGTATTTTGAGGACAACTTATAAAATAACGATGTTTAAGAACTTAATTAAATGAAAATAAATATTTAAGATATCAATTCATTATAATAAAATAATAAAGATAAGAATAATTATTTAATTTTTGTATAACTATTATTTTTATATTTAAGCCATAAATTAAATGAAAACGTAAAATAAGAATAAAGGGGGAATGAGATCTTCTCCAGAACCATCTTATATCCAGAATACCTTCATGTCCTTAGAATAATTTATGAACATAATGGGTTCAATCATGAAATGTTAATGAACATATTGCAATCTCAATCGTACAAAACAATCACTATCCTCTAAATCCTGCAAAACTTACAATATATATTGCGACCAAACTAATAACTCATTTACATTATAACGAAGATCAATTAAATTCTATAATTGCAAAGTCCACGTGTCAACCTCAAATTTGAACATAACAAAGCTGATTTGCCCTTGTTGGCATATAATTAAACACATTAATTGTTGATGTGATTTCTTTATAATCGCAATTTTGATTTCAAGTGTAATAAACAGAGTCCGAATTATTCACATGCATGTATTTGTTAGAAAAATAAATAAAAAATGAAAGGTAAACCAACAACAATCAATGGTTGCCAATAGCTACATCTCATAGCGATTTTTTTTTTTTAAGTTAAAGGAAAATTTTATTAAAAAGAAACGGCTATATACAAAATCAGAGTTCCTATAAGCTCCTATTTTCATAAGGGAGTCAGTAATATGATTTGCTTCTCCGAATATTTGCACAAAATATATGTTCTTTACTCAATTAAAAAAGATTATACAATTTATTAAAAATATCATTATATTTCCACTGATTAGCATTACCTCTATTGAGTCAAGAAATGACAACTTTTAAGTCCCTTTCAAAAATAATTTAAGGAAGAGCCTGAACATTAGAACGGCTTTGGACATTAGAAATGAAGTCCAAAGGCGAGAAATTAAGATTAAAATTTCGCTTTCATTCACCACCCAAGCATGATGCAAATCAAGTTATAGATTTAGTCAATCGGGAGGACTTTTTTTGTTGAATACCATTTCATTGCGAGCTACTCAAATAGACCAAACGATCGCATAAAACAAAGTTTTCCAAATCGACTTTTGACTCGGCCTATCCATTAAGCGACTCCATGATTGAAATAAAAGCTTTAAGGACCCCGAGATAGCCCAGAAATTACTCCACTGTCCACTGCATTTGCACCAAATATTCCAAGTGAAGTGACAAAACAACAGCAAATGATCGGTAGTTTCAACATCATCAAAGAAAGGGCATTTATTCACCAGATTCCCAAGACAGCCTCTCTTATGCAAAAGTTCAGTAACTGGATACATGCACTCAATGCCTTCCAGCAAAATATTTGAAACTTTCGGCGGAGCAAAATATTTCAAATATTAAAATGTTATCGCATAATTTACTTAATTAACATGCAAGATTTATATATGTACATATATATATATATTTGTTTGTAAAGTTCAAAAATTTAATCTGTAGGTATACGTAGACTTGTCCACAGTAATCCAGCCTTTAGGCTCTAAGAACCAAGTTGAATCAAGCCTTGGAGAGACATTTTGAAAAGCAAATCCGGTTAAATCCAGCTTGATCTGATTCATACGTTTCTTCATTAGATTTTTGCAACTAGTTTGTTAATAAGCAGTGGCATTAGGTTAGTTGGTTTCTAGCTGAAAATGAAGTGGTCAGAGGATAAAAAATTTTAATTCTTTATTGAATATGTGTAAAACATAAACTTGACATAATCAAGTCATACTAATGAAACTTAATTTTCTCATGAATTGAAACTGATTGACCAAAGGCGGCCAAAAGAAACCTAATCCACTAAGTTGGTAATCTTATTATTCAAAGCCTTATCAAAGACATATTTGTGACGTCTCATTGCAGTCATGTCCCGATTATTTGACAGATTTTTTATTTTGCTTGCATGATTATGTAACAATTATTATTTTTTTAAAGAAAGGATAAAAAGTGAAAGCAAATGTAATCATAGTTTATGAAAATGTCTATTCTTTCCTGAATTTCATGTACATTGTTCACTACCAAACCTAATCTTTTAATCCTCTTGATTCTTGTTTGCATCTCTAAATTATCTTTATTATGGTATAATGACTTCTGAAAAGACATTTATTTTCGTCTTATGTTCTGGCATTAGTATTTTACCAAATCTTACCCCTTAAAATTTGCATCATTAGAAAGATTTGAGCACATGGACTTTTTGTTTGTTTGTTAGATGATACTCATCCAAATCTAAAATAATAAAATGCAACATTATTACCTTGTAAACAAAAAGTTGGTATTTCTTCCTTGGGATATATAGAATTTTATATCTTATTTGTTTAAAACTAAAAATACATATGAGAAGGATTTACTTACATTAATATAAGTGTTATAAATTTTTTTAATCATTAGATTAAACTAATTAAATATAAATGTTATGAATTTAATTTTAATTCAAGAGTCAAAAAAATGTATAATATGTTCACTAATATAAGTGGATCCCTACTCTCTCTCTTTATATGTATAGAGAGAGAGAGGAGAGATCCATTTGCATAGTGCAAAACTTTTTTAATTTTATAAATTCCTTTAGATATTAATTTTAATAAATCTAAGAGACAAAATTAAGCTATCTTCTGTATCATAATTGAAATGAAGATGGTTATCTAAATATTTTATTAATCCAATCATTAATTTTCATCATATATTTATGTATATAGACAATGACATATCATGACATCAGAACTTGGGATCAAATTGAAAAAAAAAAAAAAATCTTGTTGTTTGCACTAATGTAAACAAATAAAATAACAAAAAGCTATAAATTTTAATGCAGTGATCATAATTAAACATATACGGAAACAAAATAAAACTATTTTAAACATGCTTAGATATTAGGATCAGAGTCTTGCATAGAAAGTTTAAAAAATCAATTTAATTTTTGTTAATTTCATATGATCGTGATTTCACACTTATAATAAGTCTAGAATATGAAAATAATAATTGGTGAGTATGATAAATACACCATCAGCAATGTGATTTTAACTCTTTGTATTTACAACGCACAAAAATGCGTAAAATTAAGTTATGAACTATAAAATATTTTTGTTGTAAAAAAAAAGTAAACAAATTCAACAATTTTAGTTTGAAAAACAATATAAATATATTTAACATAACTAGGGGAAGCTTCTAAACCATAATATCTCAAAAGTGAAACAAATCATTTAACTTATATTAATAATTTTATTTATAATTTAACATTATTTCTTTCGTCTATCCTACCAAAGACAAATATTTCCTCGCACGTATATTTTTCCTTTCTTCACATTTTTTCCCTTTCCCATTTATTCCAATCAAATATAGCGTAAAAGACTATGTGCAATAAGGATTAATAGGTGAGGCCATATCATATATCAATTAGTTCACCAATGATAGTTTTAAGTCCGTCAATTGGGAAATCTATGCTCACGTTTACAAGTTAACGGTAAACAAAATGAATCCATTATGCCAATTCAAATCAAACAAGAAGAAAGGTAGACAATGAGAAGAAATGAAACATCTCAAATTTTGTAATAAATTGCATCGTTTCACATTTTCCGTTCCACGTTTGCCAGTCAAGAAACTAAACAAGCAACAGAAGCACACGGTGCCGCCACAGGGTTACATGAAACCAAAAGGCATAATCGGCAACCAATTGGATAACATTAACCTAAGTATGGCACTCAATTTCCTAGGATAATCTCATCACCAACTACACCCCTACACCAATATCTTTCATGAAGGGAAAAAAAAAAAAAAAACTTAAAAGAACATTTTATCCTAGATGAAGAATCCGATAAATGAAGTTTCAAATGTCAATACCTATCCACTGCCATTTTGTATGCAAACTGTGAACCATTTCAACCACAACAAATCACAGGGGTAGTCCGTTCAAGACAAAGACCTAAGGTTCAATTTTAGTTCCTTAGAAATGCAACAGTGGCAACACGTGATCCCACAGATCCACCAAACATGTACGTTGGATAAGTCCGAACATGGTTCAGATATTGGAATGGGGGACGATCTCTGTGTGTTTCTTGGTCCTTGATTGTATTTGGCTCTTGGGGCATTGCAATATTTCTTTGATTGAAATTTTCCACCTCCTGCACCAATTCATCTTTTGTATGGTTGCAAGAAGTAATCACCTACAAGCAGCATTTTAAGAAGAAAAAGATTGGGTGGAAATTGTTAAATCTACAGATATAGTACAATGTCTTTCTTTTAAAGACAATTGTCACACAACTTAAAGGCATGCTGGGATGTAACAGAGTCTACCCTTCACAAAGCTATACTCAGAATTGACTTTAAGAATATTTAAACTCAGATAGAGTCGAGTAAAGCTCAAGCTCAAACTACAAGTAGTCGAGCAAAATAAACTTGAAAACTAGGCTTGAGCAATTAGTGATTGCAACTGGACTTTTAAACCATTTTTTTTTCATATAATGCATAAGACTTTTACATTTTTATCTATATGTGTGTGTGTATGTGTGTGTATTCAGAAAGCTAGCACTCGAGCTTGAGCCTTGATTTCAATGGATCTCGTTTTACATAAGCATACAAATTTACAAAAATAAAATAGAACCACAAACAAGCCAGAAAGATGCTTACTAATACTCCACCAGGGGCCACCAACTTTGAAACTGAATCCCAATACATCATCCTGAAAAGAAAGAGTTTAAGGAATTTCTAAAAGATGATCAAATAGAAAGTCATAACAAATGCAAAAGTTTGAGCTATTGAAAAATTAAAAAGCAAAGAAACAAACTATTTATCTCATTATACATAAGTGCAAATTATACATTTCAATTTATTAGATTTTATCGGCATGGACAAGTACTTCATGATAATCAGTTATTTGATAATATATACTGGTGTACAAGAGAGACAGAAGGGGCAAAGGTAGAAATTGCAACAAAGATGGTGTCATTGTTACCTTTTGATAGGCCCATCGGGATGCAAGCCAATGGCATCGAGAGTCCCCTTATCCATGACAAGTTGAAAACGTCTTTCCAACTTTGTCTCAAGAATATCATCAACCTAAGGACCAAATGGAAATGGTAATGGCCAAGGTGCTTTGAGAATAACCAAGCCAACAAGAGAATTATCAACATGCAGGAATTCAACTATCAACGGTAATCTGTTTATGCTCCATCATCAGCACAAGAAATCCACAACTCCATCTTTACCTCTTACATGGGCGTTTGAAGTCTTAATATACTGTTTTCTTCAAAACATGGATATCAATTTTGCTGTTTAGACTACATAGTCGACACTAACTGCCCCAAGCCCTTATACTTTTGTTTTATAGAGCCCCTTTTGAGGTTAGGGAAGTTGTAAAGATTAAACTAATATCTAAAAATTAATAAGAAAGGATGACAAGTGCAATGATTACACAAATATCTAAAAATAAGACCCAGGAGAGACTACAGATACAATCGTTTCTTAACAAAAAATGCAACAAAATTAACCTGAATAGGTTTTCTTAACCAAGGGAAAGAGATATGGAAATTGTAAAGATTACACAAGAATCAAAAGAAAGATCCAAGACAATGTTGATATACAGTATGTATGAAATAAATAAATACACAATGAAAGACAACAAACCAATGCACACATAAAAACAATGAAGCAATTCAGATGGGTGATAAGCACTCCAAATTAAAGAGATGATAATACTGAAATTTTCAGATTGGATGGATAAAGGAAAAAAAAAGGAAAACAGCCTGTGATTACATCCAGTTAGAATTCATAGAAATCCGTGCATACCAGAAACTTGATGTTTGAAAATCCATCACGGTCCGCAAGGCTTCGAGCAAGGTCAATTGCACCTTCACTATAATCAGTTCCAGTCAAATCTATGAATCTGAATTGAAAAATGCAAAGCATTCACTTGACCATTGCCATAAATGTAATAATAAAAAGAAATTTTAGTTTCTTAACACATAAATTTTATCAAAATGCTGACCCAAGGCATAGACATTTCTCACAGCACCATTAATTTAACAAAAATCAAATAGAATTAGCCAACACCAAAATGATACAGAATGGAATAACGGGACTAATCTTTTCCCAGCCTTCTCTGTTCAGTTTTATTTGCTCAGTTAATCCAATCACTTACCATGTCCCTAAAGCACCTATAGCACAAAAAAAATCAGCTTTAGAAAAATCATACCAATGATTAACTGCTTGAGAACATATTCAAATAAGATTTTGGAACAAGAATCATGCATGATATTTCTCTTTGGTTTTTTTCTTCCTCAATTTGGACAACCTGCAGCAAATGATGCACAAATGTTCTCCTATTATCTCTCAAAAAAGAATGACTATCATGTGTTTGGCCCTATCCAATTTCACTGTTTTGAGCCAAAATAGTAGTACTTATCAAAAAAAGAAAAAATTATAACAGAACAGTAGCACTTCCTGCCAAGGAATTTTAAATCCTGAAGGACCAAGAACTTGATTGTACAGGACTTGTCCAACTAGATATTCAGTTCACACCAAATGGTGATTAATAAACCTGGGCTTGTCCAAAAAGAAAATTTTAATGAGGATCAGTTCAGTTCATATACAGGTTTTGAAGATATTAACTGCTGTATCAAGAAATTTGCTTTTGCAGAACATGGTTGGAGTGACAGGAAATTTTTAGCATAAGTTCTTAGATAAAGACTTGATTAGCAGCTTATTAAGGATGAAATTTGCAAGTTGAAGTTTCTCCAGGAGTGATGCACACCCTTGGAAAGCTGTTACTTGCCAGGGCACTAGTTTTCATATTCTTTAAAGGAACCTTGGTGTTTGGGGTTTTTCATGCTGTTCCTTATGTTTCAGATTTTAGATTTCTTACACTAATTTCTGGCATCCCATAAAAGTCTTAAACGAAATAGCTAATGCAAAAGAAAGTGTACAATTCTAGAGTCCATCAATGAGGCTAGAGCCACCATTACCACAGAATGCTCTCTCTGATCAAAGTAAGGAGAAAAAGTCGATTACTCAAATCAAATACAAAACAAGAATAAATACAAAAAATTATAAGAAATTGAACAGTCCACAAAATATTTGATGCACATCCAAAATAAAATTATATATACATGCAATTATAAATGAGATAAATGTTCTCCAGTTATTACAATGGTTCATTTTTCTAGTAACACAGCAAGGATGGCTACATTGCCAGATTCAAACACTTCCAGGGTTTCTTTAAATATCTCTATTGCTTTTCTCCGCATTTTTATGCTTTCTTAGTGCCCATAAATGACACATATATATGTAAAAGAACTTTTTTACCATGTTCAAGTAAAATTGCATCCTTTTCTTCAAAAAATCTCCATCCACGTTCATTATCACTCTCAATATATTGGACAAAAAATTTTAAGATTGTACGATAGGAGCACCTCTTACCTACTAATGTCATGAATCCAGCAAAATATGTATTATAATATTCGAGAAGAGCAATAGCATGAACAATATGCAAGCCAACTTATTGTTGAATTTGAAAAACTATGAATTTAATTTATTTTGAATTAATTTTATTAGCATATAATACCAGTACTATAGGCAAAATCTCAGAGAGTACCCCTGCTTAGCAAGTTCCTGAAGGAGCAAACCATTGCCAGTGCCAATGTCAAGTACACTCCAGCAAGACAAATATTTATCATCCAGTTGAACAGACTCAGGCTTTGCCTCATCAACATGATTTGGCATGTAACCTTGAGAAATTTGACTACACAAGCTTTTGGTCCAAGAAGTAACAGTATCCATGACATCAGCTCCAAACCTATTGAGAGAGAGAGGTAAAACAGTGAAAACATAAATTAATTAAAGGACGTAAACTGAAATTAGCATAAACAAAAGGTCTTAGAATCCTTTATTTATGAAAAAGTTATTAAACCTGGCCCAGATAACAACTCGAAGAAGTTATCAATTCAGTAGGTTATCGGGGGAACCACTAAAACGCATATTGAATTAAATCCCATTTAATACAATTATACCCATAAATTATGTACTTATGTGATTAATAACAAATATTTTTGCTAGGAATATAAGGATCATGCCTAGATTGAAGGCAAAATTACATAGTTTAGGTAATGCTAACCAAATTTCACCAGCGTGGCCATGTTCACGAAAATTTGCCAGCTCATCTGCATATGCACCATCCCAATAACTCTGAAGACCAAGCATTGATGTCATTGCATCAGCATCTGGTTCATCCTTGTCAGAACTGTGTATACAACAAACACCAGACAAGTCCATGTTATACATATCAGCAATGACAAACATACATCATACAACTTTTCTTAGCAATGGGTTAAACATATAATGTCGTCCTATAATTCAACCCATAAAACCATATCCCAAAAATTCCACCCAAAAATTCCTCAATTTGGTTGTTACTTTTCCTACTTGCCAAAGAAAAGTATAATGTGTTTTTGGATACAAAAACAAATAATAGTGCTGAAGAATTGAGAAAAAAATTCCATAGAGAACAAAATGAATTGTTGACATTTGCATGGAACAAATATGTTTGAAGAGGTACTTCCTTTTAGCCATCAGCACATTTTTAATCATAAATGATTTTGTTTTATACTATTTGCTATTGTTTTATACCAACTTCTGAAAAAAAAAAGTAACAAGAGAACCAAAATAGAAGCAAAGAACTTGTTTCATGATTGCATTCATTTATATAATAAATAATTATATATTCATATGTATAAATCTTATTACTTGGCTGTGAAGAACTAAAAATTCTATAGATTGGTCGTTTAAATAAACTTTTTTTTTTCATTTCAACGGCATTGATCCACAAATAGTTTTTTTTTTCAAAAATATAAAAAAACCCAGTAATACAAGCCTTAATTTCCACAAATACGAGCAAGGTAAAATAAACCAAGAAATTTTCCCATCCAAAAGTTAAATAAATAACAAATCTTAAAATTAAGCAAGTAAGCTCTGATTTCACTTTCCACAACTTCAAAACCCTTATTTATTAACTCTATTAAAAATTCAAAATCTAGCCAAAACATTCAATTGAAAAACGGAAAAGTGAAAGACGAATAGAATAGAAAATAGAAAAACCTGTAATCAGAGGCAGCACGGAAGTTGGCAGCGGAGGAAAGGGCTTCAGCGGCATCAGCGTGGCGCTGCTCATCGTCAAGTGTGCTTCCATAATCGCTCTTTATAGACCAGGAATCGGCAGCCACCGACCGCTCGTCGTCGGACGCCACTTCTCGACCGGTCTGCAGCTGTTGTTGCGGCGGCGGATGTTGCTGGGTTGGGTCCGATGACTCTTCCGGCAACAATCTGATTCCCGCCATGGATTTCAAGGTATTTAATTTTAAAAGAAAAAGAAATTTGGTTAATTTGTGAGTGAAGAAAGACAGAGCGAGACTTGATTCGTTTACTTAGGACTTTATGTTGTTGAAGGAAAGAAGAAAAAAGAAGAGATCTTGGGAGATATTTTTTTCTTGACAATTTTGTATAGAATTGATGAGATCTTCACCGTTTGATTATTCACTCATACAAAATTATTTATTAACAAAAAGATATGATCATGCATTTTTATTTATTAAATTAATTTCTTAATTATTTTAAATATAAATTAATAAATGTATAAAGTTGATTTATTAATCATTTAACATGTATGATAATAAAATACGTGACAAGTTTTGAATTTCACTAGAAAGATTTTAAAGTTCATGTTGTATTGAAATAATATTTTTTAAATGGATTTTAGTTTAATTAATTTATATAATTATTTTTAAAATATAAGTTTTTGTAATTCCTTTTTTACTTTCAAACCATTATATTTTTGTAAAAAAAAAAATTTAAAGATATTAGTTAAGATTGACAAGTGTAATTGTTTTGAAAGAAAAAAATAATTATTCAAAACATCATTTGTCGGATATTCTTAATATTTAAAAAAATATTTATTTTTATTATATTTAATATTAAATTTTAAATCATTATAAAATTGGTATTTCATTATTTTGTGTCAAAAAATTAAAAAAAATTAATTTTGATAAAATTTTAAGTGTTCAAAATAGCACATTAAGAGAATATAATTTTGGAAAATTAAAAGAATAAACCAACAAACTAAAGAAAACCGAACAAAGGGAGTTGCAATTGGGAAGTTTTAGTACTATAATAAAAGCTAATTTAAGTTCTTATCTAAAAAAATTCTTTCATCAAAAGTGTTTAACTTATTGGAATTAGTTTCTTAACTTGGGCCTATTTAGGGTGGGTTTAGATCTTATTGAAGTTGCCTTTCGTTTGAATCGGACAACTTTCTTGTCTCTCAATGATACTATTTGGATGGTATATTCCAATATGATTAAATTCAGTATTTCTCTAATAAGAGATTGAAGTATCTAACGTGTAGTGGACAAAGATTTAATGGACAAATGGAGTACGATTAGAATTTATGGACCATACTGCCTCCTATTGTTTTTTTTTCCCTAAAACATTTCAACACTTTTTTTTTTTGTTTTTTGTTTTTAAATTTAACTTTGTTTAGTTTGTCATATGTTTTATATTTATGTTTAATATTAATTTATCTAAATAACATTTATAATTGTTATAAACATAATTTTTCAAATATTAAATATTTTGACATATTTTTATAATTTTAATATTTAAATTAATTTTACCAATTTTTAATTTATTAACAAGAAATTATTTAGAATAAAATAATTTTAATAAATTTTACTAATTTATTAATTTCACAAATATCAAATGTATATTATAAATTTTATTATACATAAGTTTTAATTTAATATTTTTAATAATTATTTTTATCTCATTATATTTTATCTTATTATTATTATTACGTTTGCTTTTAAATATATATCATATCATTAATTTTAATATCACAACTGTAATAACTAATATTACCATCAATATTATTTTTAATTTCATTAGAATTAATTTTTTCATTTATCCAAATAAAAAAAAAAGAATTATTCATAACAAGTCGAAATAGTCAATGGATGCTTAAAATACTCTATCCAAACTTGGTTTATGAGTTGCACGACTTGTCACGTTTAGATTATTAAAAAATATTATTGTTAATTTTATTTTATTTTAAAATATATTTACAAATATTTAATATAAAATATTTGTAAATATTTTAATAAGTTGTTGAATTAAATGGATTTCACAAATGAGTAAACTTGAGCTTAGTTAGCTTTTATAAGTATCAATTGAATAGGGCTCGATTTATATCTAATAATCTAAAATATGACATAATGATATGACATGAATATGATAAAAAAATATAAATATAATATAATTTAAAATTTAAAAAATAATTATATATGAGTTTAACAAAGTAAAGATACATATTTTATATTTTTTTTATTGATACAAATTATTATACATAATTTTTATGTAAAATATGATACGAATATATAAATTTTAATATTTTATATAATATAAATACACAAATTATCATATCTAATTTAATCGATAAATGTTTTTAATTTCTATCTTTAAAGAAAAAAATTGTTTGAAATTTTAATATCAAGTTTTAATAGTAAGGTGTTTTGTTTATTGCACAAGTTTTATCATTGAAATTATATGGAGTATAGAAATCCCAAAACTAGTATTTTTTATGGTGTGTTTAAAATAATCTGAAATTGAACATTAAATATTAAAATTAAGTGTTCAACATTTTATTAAAATATCTAAAATTAATATTTCAATAAAGAGAAACACTAAAAAATGTTTTTTTATTTTGAAAAATTTGACATTATTCTAAAATAACCTAAAATAATAAAATTAACATTCAATTTAAAAGAGGAAAAAAAAAGTAGGTACTTGTTACAATTAGGCGACTCAACATTGGATTAATTTTCGATTGTCTCAGGGTTTGCTCGAGTAAATCTTCATCTCTCATTGTTCTTTATCTCGTTGGTTTTTGTTAGCCCTAGATCCATTAATAGGGTCATGAAAATTGATTTGAACAATATTAACACACCTCTTGGCTCTTGCCTATCATGCTTCAAATAATTAATATAATTATTTTTAACAAATAATATTTAATAAATTTAGTATTCAAATTTTAAATATTTAAAATCTCTTCTTTTAAATTCATTTTACAATTTTTTTGTACTTAAATAAAGTACTTTAATATATATATGTCATCCACGGCCTCATGTCTAAAATATTAATGGATACGTGCTTGGCCTTACAATCTTCTAAGGGGTTAGTAAATCCTTGAATGATCCTCTCAATACTTTTTTTTTTTAAAAGGCCGAATAGAATAAAATTTTTTTGATTCAAAAAGAGTTCAAAGTTGAAAAGCACAAAACAAGTACATAGTTAGAATGCAAAAGCAAAGATTAAAAACATGAAAGCAGAGCTTGGGTTCTTTGAGCACCAAATATAGCTAAGTCATATCAGAATTTGAGTAATGAAGGCAAACTATTTTATCAATGATTTTCTTATGACATCTATGATCACTGTTCACATTTTGTCTAGTGCAAGTCGGTAATTAATATTTAGTTAAAGGGTCAAAATTCTTTCAACAAAAATTTAATAATTATTTAAGTAATTAATATTTTATTACAATTAATATTTTTTATTTTTATCAGTTAAGCTCTTAAATATTTATTTTTATCTAATTGAACCTTGAAATATCTGTTTTCACCTCAATTGAGTCTTCAATTAGAGGAAAATTGATGTTGATGGTTAATACAAATTTTCGTCTAATAAAAACTCAATTAATGAAAATAGATATTTGAAAACTTAATTAATTACAATAAAATAATATGAGTTTTGATGATTCTTAAATTTTTGTTAAAGGGTTTTAACCTTGTTATGCCTAAGTTAATCAGTCAACAATTAGAGCTTTGGTCAATGTAATAAGGCTCTCGGGTCACAGATGCAAGGCACGTCCAAACAACCACGTCATCTACCCTAAAGAGATGGTTTGCCACCTACCAAAAGAAGAGCCTACCTGAAGCCTTACTAATGGCTTGTCAAGGCAATCATTTCAAAACTGACCAATAGGCCACTAACTTGCCTTGAATCATTAAATGTGACCCAAGACCATTAAATGTAGCCTACACCTACTTGGGATCATTAAATACAATCCCTATCCATCACGTGGACTCTTATTGAACTCCACATAGACATTCTCTCAACTGTCAATTGTCTTGGTCAAATCATCACTCTTGGCCAAAGACAAAAGGTAAAGAAAAACCAAGTATGCAAGGTAACAAAAGAAGAACTAATCCCCTCACCCTTTTCTCTAAGCTTTCTCACTCTTGAAGCTTCCCTCTCTCACTCCACGCTTTACCATTTTCAACCTTTCTTGCCTTATTTCCTAAACACACCTCAGGCAATATACTGACTTAAGCGTCAGAGCACATCTTCGAATGACAACTCCAATGCCCCATTAATCATGCTTTTATGGCAATAGGTTACAATTGTCCTTCCCTTCAACCTCATTTCCTTCTCCTCAACTAAGATGTTAGAAAAAACCATTAACAATTGGCATCATTTGTGGGAACAAAAGTCTTGTCGCACTAACCATATTCTTTTGAGATGTTAGCTCCAACCATTAATATTATTGCCTAACTTACAACTACTATTAAGGTAACATTTTCTTGTTGACCCATCCTTAAATTCTTTCACCAAATTTACCTTCTCGAAACTCCCAATGTCCCAATAATCAACTTTCATCAAATGTTTGGGCATCACAACCTTTAAGCTATTATCAAAGTTTATTAGGAGCTTTTTCCTCGAACATGACATTGACATCATCGTTAGTCCACACTATAACAGCTACACTTTCAAACCTTGTTCCCCAACTACCCATAACACAGATCCACTCTTCATAACCCATTAATGCTGGTGTGTAGCCAAACACTCTCCTTGTAACTTTCATTATACATGTTTCACTTCCACGTCCACAAGTCCCAACGCACCTACTAGTTATGCAAACACAACTAGACTTTTATCAAACTTTCATGCCCTAGATATAACTCTAAATGTCTAAGTGGCCACTAAGTAAAAATTACTCTTACAATACCAACATGCAACTCAACAACCTCTTCAAGAACGACCTCACCTTAGAGAAAGTTTAGCATCCTATTTCAAAGAACCACCACCACTACTTCAAAACGTAACCCGAACTAAAAAAACCTACCCCTAAACAGTGCATCATAAAGCTCACCATGATGACCAAGCATATATAAACCTTGACTTGGAAAATGAACTAGCTATGCAAGTCGTGATCCTATGCAAAAAGCTAGCTAAGTTCAAAAAAGATAAAAATAAAGACCTTTAGTGACTGAAAGATAATCACAAACCTGTTACTCTCACCATTAGACAAGTTGACATCCTATCTTCCCTTAAATTGCCAAAAGATACTTATAATGAAACCACTGACCTAGAGGACCACCTGGACCATTTTAGGACCTCTATGAACTTGCATAATGCATTTGATGCAATAAAATGTAGGACTTTTCCTACCACCTAGCATGAAAGAGCTAGCACATGGTTCTATTCCATGGCTTC